AGTAGTTAAAATAAAATTGATAAATAATAAATAATAATAATAATTATTTATAATTTAAAATATTTAATTTATTTAATTAAAATTATTAATTAATAATTATTTTTGAATCGGTAATCCAACCTCCAACCAAAATTTTAACTCTCTAGAAAATCAAAATAAATTGTTTTGGGCAAAACTATATGATACTATATCTATTCAACTTTGGTACATTGAATTCCTTTTATCTAATAAAATAAAAATTAATAATTGATTGATAACATTTTATATTTATTTCTAATTAAGTAGTTCTTACAACTTTTTATTTAATATATGTTGTAAATATTTTTTAAATAAGAACAAAATAAAAATAAACACATTAAATGACATTTTAAAAATAAAAAGTGAATAAGTAAATTTAAATACATTAAATTTAAAATTAAATTTATTAAAATTAAATTGAGAGAGTAGTATTAATAGATCTTGAAGAATAAATAAAAAGATTTAAAATTGACAAATTTGACTTGGTCAAACCCAAGTATTTTTATGAAAATGTCAATTTTTTAGCATTATCAGAAAGTTCAAATATCTTGTGTCAAAGATAGTGATAGTGTTATCCTAAAACTATTAAATGAAAATAAATATTTTAATCTTAAAAGAATAAAATATTTATTGATCCATATAAAGTTAATCACTATAAAAGTCAAAACACTTCATAAAAAAAGTTTAAGTATAAAATACATTTTAATTCTTTTAGACACAAAACATTAAGATATAATTTAAACTCTCATAGGATTTATCGAGATAGATCTGTCTGAACAATGGGGATTTACATATTTTACTTTCAATTTCCAAATAAACATAAAAACCTTTAAACAATTTTTAAAAGAAAGAATCATAACTAAAGGGTATTTCATGACTGAGGAGAATAGAAAAATCTTTTAGTTTAGTTTGCATAGGATTCATTATGTATATATCCACATCATACCAAAACCTCTTTTTAAAATATCCAAAAAATCACGCCCCCAGCGACCAGTAAACATCATTCACACATTTATTGGAGTTTCTTGGATAATTATCCCTAGTATGATTTGATTGGGATTTTATGGAGGAAATATCCTCTATCACGTTTCCTTCCTTTTATTTCGCTCCTAATCTTTCAATATCTATCTAAATGCTTCTTTATTTTAGAATAATGGATATTTTTAATTTTATTTTTTAATTAAAATTT